AAATAAGTGCATTTTGCATTTATAATTTTTAACTACCCAGTCTTGAACAGGATTATATGTTTAGATTATGATTCTTATGAGACACTTTTTATTTTCTTTTTCTTTCTTTTTGTTTTTGTTTTGTGTTTTTTCCTTTTAGCTTGTTAGGTTTTTATTTTGTTAGCAAGTTTTCCTAACTTTGCTTTGAATGTTATATGTAGTATATGGCCTTGCTTTTCACTATATATAACAATTTTATTTTACTTTTATCAATATTCGTCTTCCTAGACAGTTAGACAAAATTGTTTAGACTTCTCTTTTTCTTTATGTTAAGGAGGTTTTTAGTATGACAGGTTACATTTGGACACATATGCAAATGGAGTGTCGAGCGGTACTTTCCATTAGGAAATTAGATGTATAGGGAGAAACTATAAGTTCTTGTATTAAGTTAATTCTTAGGCAGATTAGCTATCTGTAACTCTTTATCTAATAAATACGTAAAGTGTGACTGTCAAAGGAAAAAAAAAAAAAATTTTTTTTTTGTTATTAAAAGTAGTTTATATTGTTAAAAAAATTTTATTAGTATTGCAAATAAGATTATATATTAGCATATCTCAAATCTGTGACAGGTTATACTGATAATGTCAATTTATTTGTCTGACCCTTACTCTAGCATCTATATAAATTAATTGAGTTGAAATTAAATACCAATGTTTGAACTAATATATTTATTTTATATTATATTAAGAGTATTAATAAACATTTCAATTAAGCCTATTATTATTCAAGCAAATTACATTCATGAAAAAAAAGTGAAACAAACAAAAGCAAAGTAAAATTCATAAATTCTATGAATCTATATATAACTATTTAGTTTAGCTGATTATTTAGTACATTCTTGCTTAAATTATGTTCTTTTTTATTTACTTTTTTTTTTTTGAGTAGGCATAGCCTAAGAATCCAAATTTTCTTTATTTTACGTCTTTTAATTAACTTGATCTATACTCATATACATGCACTACTTTTAACTTGAATTATCAGATCTAGATTGTAATTAAGATCATAAAGAAAGGAAGATAATCAGAAAGCAGATTTTGACCTTGCTGCAATATAATGATCTTTAAATTTATCTAATGCAGTTCGCAATATTTGACTAGCATTTTAATAATCTGATTTATAACTTCTAAATATAAAGTAAATTTAGAAAGATTAATTTCTATAGTTTCTTTATTCATTTCTTTTAAGGTACTAAAGCTAATAAAAGAAAGATTATTAGGTTTTTATTTTTTGAAATTCAGAAATTTATCAGTAAAATAAAAAAAACTTACTTCTGATTATCACTAAATGTTTCATTAGTCAAACTATCTCTTGACATTTATATTTCAGTATACATGCTTTTATTTGTAGGTTGTGTATATAAGGATGTATAGAATGATTTGTTTTCAGAAGTATAACCTAAAAAAAAATAAAAAATAAAAGCAAGATAAAAATATGCACATGTTTTGAATTGTGATTATTTCAAGTATAAAATAAATAATGCAATAAAATATTTGAATGCTATCTAAAATGAAATGAAAAATAAAAAAATAAAAATAAGTATTAACTTAATCTACTTACCAAGTGCTATATAAATATATACTATCCGATCATCTAGATTCAATGATGGAACAAAATTAGTCACTGAAATATGATATTTTATTGAAACTGCTTCTTGGTATTTACAAGAAGCACTAGATATTCTAATTGAGCAAGAGCAGAAACTGATTTCACTATTCACAACATAAATATTATTTCCTTTTGTGCTTAATACTATAAATTTATTCTCTATATTAGTCTTTTGAATTGTATCTGCATTTACAGTTTCTCATTCAGGATACAAAAATCAGTTTGCAATATGTAAAGCTTCTGAATGCTTATGTGCAATCCCAAGTAGTCACCTCTCATAGAATCTTTCTATACTTGAAATTATGAATTGAAAAACTTGAATAGAATTATAAACCTGCATTCTTGCAAATATTATATCTTTCATAATACCAAAGCTTCTTTTGATATAATTATTCATATTATTACCTTGTATAGGTAAACTTGAACAAAATAACAAAGCCTAGAACTGCTGTCATTCCCATAAAAGCCTAAAATAATTTAGTAATTGTAGATATTTATAAAATTTTTAATAGAATTCATTATAATATATATCTATTTTTAAACTCGATAGTGCATATAAAATCTTTTTTACTTTATTCATAATTAGTAGTCGATCTTCTTTATTGATCTTATATTTTGCATCATAAATCTACCTCCAGAATGCCTGTAAAAAATGGAATATACTAAAAGACAGATGGTCTGAGGCTAACAAATTTCTAAGCTATTACACTCTGCACTTGAGTCATCTGTTAAAAAAACCATTGACCCAACTTGCACTCTACACTCAAAAAAAGCATCTATTGGAAGAATTATTTTTAACAAATTTAATGCCTTTTCATAGGTTATTTTAGATTTATCTGAAGTAAGAAACAGTCTAAGAGGAAGAGTACTAGTAGGACAGCTAGTATATAAAAGTATTACTGAGATGTTAAGAGGGTCAAAGGATACTGATGAATCTATATAGCATAGCTCTTCTGCTTGGTGAATTTTTTGATGTACACAATGCATTAGATTCATTACAATAAAAAGAATAAAAGCTATTCTACTATGTGAGTCATATTCCTGCAATTAGTAAATAAAATTAAAAAATAAAAATTAATAAACAAATAAATAAAAAAGAATAAAATTAAAAAAGAATAAATTAAAGAATAAATTAAAAAATCAGAAAATTTTTGAAAAAAAAAAAAAATTTAATTATCTGTCATATAGCTTTTTCGCATCCTGATTTATTGTAATTTTCTATAATAATGTCTAGACACTTAAACATTGATATACTATTGTAACTTCCAAGTACTTCATTCCTATATTGTTGAAACAGATTGTACACATAGCCATAATCAGGATTATGTACACGGTCTGCAAGAATTTCTAATAATTTTTGCTGATATTCAGTGCTAAGATATAGTTTATCCTCATATGCGTGTAGTGCTGAAGAAGGTGAGTGTCTCTCTTTAAATAAGTTTATTAACTCCTTGCAAATACTTTCTTTAACATGCCGAAAACTTAGTGCTTCTGCTGAGTTAACAATATGATTATGTGTATATTTTAGATAAATTTCTAACAGATGGGTAAGTGAAAGTCATTAATGTTCTAATCGTATGTAGATTGTTACAGTATAGTTAATATCTAGTATATGAGATAACTAGAGATATTTTACTTTGATATTTTCCTGCTTTTTCTTCACCTTGTAGCTGTAAATACAGTGACATTTTTCATGAAAAAGGACACAGTTTTCTTTTATTTTATAACTCTATATTTGTAGTATTATCATTTTTGTAAAATCTTGAAATGCTACAATCTATTCAGATGCATCTTCTTTTGTGTTAATATTTGCAAATACATATAACTCGAAATTCAGAATTTCAAAATTTTCTAGTATCTGGTATGATAGCATATTGTTGAAACTTTGAATGAGATAAGAATAATTTGGTGAAGTATTAGTTTCAGAGCCTCTAGCAACATATCCCAAGAAAATATCTAAAAATTAATAAGATAATGCTAGTAGTCTTTTAATAAATATTAATTCTGTAATTTGTATGTAGACTTGTAGTAACGATAATTAAATTATATATTCTAAAAAAAAAAATCAAGTCATTTTAACCTGCAGATTATTTATAGTATTGCTTTCCATATTAAGTAAATTTTAATTAATCGATTTTTTGTGTACTGATATTTATTATTATAGAAATTACTAGTTTTTTTTAATATCAATATAAAAAAAAACTGTTTAGGTAAAAAAGCAAAAGAAGTATATACAGATCATATATTATATATTCTCTTTATTGAATATATTGTAATAATTAAACAATCAAAGCTTATTAATAATTACTCAAAGTTTAATTAATTAAGTAAATCAATCAATCGAGATATAGTTTTAAGACCAACGCTAGGATAAGGGTCAGATAAGTGAATTGACATTATCAGTATAATCTGTTACAGATTTGGGATATGCTATATATTAATAATCTTTACTGTTTGTAATTATATAAAGAGTATATAACAAGCTATATGTATAACTTTAGTCATTATCTATTTTAAGTAGTTTGCTATACAGATATTAGACTATTTAATTAGTTCTATACTATACTACTATATTTGTAATCTATCTGTAAAATATCTATTTAAATACTATGTTTATTAACCTATACAAATCTAATTTAATATTATTACAATATCTAACTACTTAATTTAGCTAGCTTATTACAGATCTATTTATTTAGAATAGCTTAGATTTTCTCAAAATATATTATATCTAATATATTGTTAATATTGCAAAGCTATTAACTTTGAAACAAACCTACTAGAGTAGTTTGTATTTATTTTACAGATTTATCTAGTTTAAACTCTTATAAATATTTATACAACTCTAGATTTTACTATAGTTTTTTACTAGTCAGTTAACTTAGTTTTTTTCTAGTATCTAGCTAGTTTTAGTTATTTTTTATCTGAAGATCTTAAAACTTTCTACCTTTATTAGACTAAGTTTGCTTTTTAGAGCAGACTTTAACTGATATAGTCTTGTCAAAAGGCTATACTACTTTACTAACTTAGAATTTCTACTATATAAATTTTTTGCTTATATATTTTATTAAGATTTATTTATATAATATTATAACATACTTCTAAGTTCTGATCAATTTGGTATAATTCAATTTATAGAGATATACCTTTAGAAATAAATAAAATTACTGTAATATATTATAAGGTCTAAGAAATTATTCAAATTTGTCAATGGTAAAATTTGAATTCTAAATCTATTGTATAGTAGTTTGATAACTTAACTACTATACTAGATTATTGAACTTTGTAAACAAAATAATTTTAACTTAAAAGATCAAAATAATTATTTAGATATATGATTAAATACAGAAAAAAACAAGAAGAAAAGTTTTAGTATTAGTTTAATAATATATAAAAAATAGAAAAAATATTTAAACCAAGTAAAAAAAAAGAATATATATTATTTAGAAGTTTTTTTGTATTCAAAAGACAAAAAATAATAGTCTTAATAATATATATACTATACAAGAATTTTAAAATTAGAAAGATATTCAGCAACAAATTATTAAAAAAATATTCAAATATTAAAGAAAAGAAAAAGCTACTAAAGTTATAATAATAAAAGATTTTAATAATATTTAATACAAAAAGTTAGACTAGAACAAAAAAGACTCTAAATAAACTCAAAAACTTCTTCTAAGTTAGCTTAGAAACTCTAATATGATTAATGTATTCAGAAAATTATATCTTTATAGGATAAAATTTATAAGAGTAAATTATTAAGTAAAGTTCAGAATTAACTATATCTAGATATCTAAAGATCTAGATCAAGGTCTTACTTATTATTATATATTAGAAGCTGATAAAATCACAAATAGTAATTATATAATTGTAATATTATAAGTGCTAGCTTTCTTAATACAATACAAATAATATAAGATATAGAAAAGAATTCTTAATAGTATCTAAATAGAATATTACTTTACTACAGTAGTTTATTATAATGTTAATAAAAAATAAAGATTATATTTTATTTATAATATAATATCAATAATACAAGATAATCTATTAGTTTCTGTACTAAGAGAATTCTAATATTAAAGAAATTATAGAAGTTAAATCTAATTTAAAATAAAAAAAAGAAGAGTTTATAAAGCTTTTATAATAAAATTAAAAATTATAAAAATTGTAAGAATTGTAAGAATTATAAAAATTATAAAAATTAGATCTGGCAAGTTTAGTATAGTGGTTAGGTTATCAGACTACTATACAAGATATCTGAGATTCAAATCCTACTATCAATAAATTTGAATAATTACTCAGACCTTTATACTTAACTTATGATAAACTCTGCTCATTTCTGAGAGTTATAACTCTGTAAATCATGTTGACCAATGTCAATTAGATATTAGAAGTATGATATAATGTTTAAGTTATATTGCATGAATAAATCTTGATAGGATCTATGAGCAAGAGACCTGCATAGTAGAAATCTCGAATTTGGTGAAATAGTATAGATTTCAATAGTCATACTAGTTAATACTTGATTCAGAAAAGAAGTTTGTATATAAAGGTCATAGATCGAGTAGGTGCAAGTAAGTCTGCTATGTAATACAATCTAGTACCTTGCATTAGTATTAACACTAACCTAGTTTGACAGCTAACTAGATTTAGAAGGATCTGATTTGTAAAACTTCTGAATATGTAGAGGACTAATCTAATAAAAAGTTATAGTAGAAACTAGGTTTATATGAACATCTATAAAAGTATATGCTAGCTTAATTAGGATATAGTATAGCATAGTTAGAGTATTCCACAGGTCTTTCCTAATAAGGACAAAAAGATATCTTGAGATAGAGCTCTCCTAATAAGAGAAACTGAGATGCAAAATTAGTCTGAGTAGTCTTTATTAAAGTAGCACAAGATTGTGCAGGTTTAAAAATAAAATTGGGTTAACATTAGAGATGACAGGAATATCAGAGAATTTAAAATAGAGTATTCACAAATAGATACTAGATATGGCAATTAGTAGGTAACCTCTAAGTGGAACCTTTAAATAGACAATAATTAAAGTTGTATGCATGACTAATTATACTTTTACTAACTAATGGAAACCTACAAACTATTTAATAAAAAATTAACTGGCATCGAGGCCTTGTTGAAATAATAAAAAAAAAAAAAATCATAAAATTTCTATGCTTCATATTCTACTTTTTTATCTAAGCTATCTACATAATCAATTTTATTAATACTAGTTATTCTATTTTTGTTTTCTTTGTCTATAGTCTAAAGCTTTTTTTTTATTATATTTACCTTTTAATTTAGGTTATTTTTCTTTCAAATTGCTTCTCTTTTTCTGATGAGTAATTATGAGTTCTTTCTGAAACTTTTCAGCTAATACTACAAAATTTAACCTTTAAGTTTATACTTCTACATGCTGCAATTTTTTTTTTTACAAAACTTTAATATTTTAAATATAGATATCAATTATAAATCTTAATACATATATATATCATACCTCAATTAAAATCTGCTTAATATAAAAAAATTGTATAACTATAATGATTTTTGAAGTAAAAAATTATTTGTATTATTTATACTAGAGATATAAACTGTTATTTATTAGATACTAAATTAATAGTAAATCTAATAGTATCTATTAGATTTACTATTATTTAGATATCTATTGAATAACAGTTCATATCTCTCATATATAAAACAATTCAATTATCAAATCAAAATTAATAAAGCTACTCAAGAGACTATAGTGAAATTCAAAAAAACAAGACTTGTAAAGCTACCTATTTATCTGATGATTCAAACTAGACTTGACAAAGCTATCCTTAATTAAAAGATTACTATAATAATACTATGAAATGTATTATAATAAAAAGTAATAAAATTTATATATCTATTGAATACTAAATTTCAATATTATATGTAGGTTTTAGTCTAGATATAAATATGAATTATGGTCTCATATAATGATTTATAACTTAAAATAGTTTTATAATTAAATTTGTGTCTTGAAAATTGTATAGAATTATTAGAGATATTAATCTTGCAAACTACTGTTTCTAAAAATATTTTATTTTATTTTTTTTTATTATTAAGGTAGCTTCCTTTGCTGATTAGATTTTATTAATTTGTTATTACAGAGCTACTACATGAGTAGACTCCTAGGGTTTTACAGTTACATGATGAGTATACAACAAGCCACACGTACAACTTTAGTCATTGTCTAATTTAAGTAGGCCGCCATACAGACAATTGACCATCTGTTGGTTCTACATATACTGCTATACCTGCAACCCACCTATGAGTTACCTATTTAAACA